TGAAAAGTTGATGTAGGACTTTATCGTATTTACATTGGGAGTCACCAAGCTGATGCTCGTCGGGAGTGTATCTAACGAGTATTACTAGGGACCAGGCCGACTAGGGTTTATATCCCGTATTTATCAATTACATTATTTGCTCAAGCTATCCCCGATAGCTGGCCCGTCGTAGTTTGTCACCATTTTTGTGTAGGGGTACGATGACACTTTCTTTCCAAATACTTGGTATTTTTTCTTTCTTCCAAACCTGTAGTACGAAGGTGTGCAAGTGTTTGAGAAAAGTTTCTCCTCCATACTTGAGACACTCTGCTGATATTGTGTCATTAACCGGAGCTTTGGTATTTTTCAGCCTGCTGATCGCCTTCTCTCCAACAGTTGTTAATAATAAATACGAATGCTACTTATTATAATTATTCCGAGCTTTTTAACAAACTTGTTCACAGTTATTTAGCGAACAAACACATAATAGATGTTCTAATTTCGAATCAATTGGAGCAAATACAGTGTTTGATGCAAGCGTGTCATTTTATAACTTGTTATAACGGAAAATTATAAATATTCATTTCCAGGTGCACTAATGGCTAAAATTGTTCAGTTAAGTTCATTAAAGAAGTGCATTCAATTAGGTTCAATTACGTTTAAAGACTGGCTTTCATTTTATTGTGCGAGCTAGCGTTTTCCGTATATTCATAAAACCATGTCACTACTGCTAGTGATAAAATATTTACATTTACGTTATCATCTTTTCCACTACAGGAACTTTAAAGTCAGAGTTTGCAGCATCTGTTAACTATTGGGGGCTTCAAATTTTGATTACATAGTTTATAAAATAATTTTCTACTGCGTTCGTTATTTTAATAATTAAATGCATCTTGCTTGTTGGATTTTTACATAGCTAAAATAAAATGTGGAAGCAATGAAAATATTTAGGGTAATAAGGCAATACATAAATCTAATTATATTTATTGTTTTTCTTAATCTAAATGAAAATCTAAATACAATAAAGTTTGAAAGAACGCATTACTACAAAAAAGCATAAACATGTGCTTTTATATGTACAGGGTGTCGCAATAAGGATGGTAAGCGGCTGTATCTTGGAAAGTATGTGTTGTAGAGTGGGAATTCAAATAATTAATGTAGGCTTTGGAAGAAAAAATGTTGTTTTATTTTTCCCACTATTTTAAAACTTACTAGATGTAAAACATCTATACTGATAGAGACAATTCCTACTTTAGTTATTTGAATTAGGCAACCCTTATTATTTTCAAGTATTAAATCGGTTCCAGAAATTATTTTGAGATGCGGTTTTTGCGCTATGATTCATTTTTCCTTTGCTTTCGAATTCGTGTAAAATAATTTGATGGTAGCATTTGAAAAACATATTTGTGAAAAATTAAAACAAATAATTTTTTTCGAACAGCGCATTTTTCGAAAATGAGTAAGATTGTTGTTATATCACATATTGTAAAGTTTTTATTGCTCTTTCAATTGATAGTAAAAACTTTGAAATCGGTCAAGCCGTTTCGGAGTTACAGGTTTCTTTGAATTAAGCGGTTTGACT